CCTGCGTTTTGCAAACCTAGCTGTAAACCAACAAAGCTCAAAGGGAAGCTGTCCCTGCATTTTGCACACATAGTTGTAAGCATCCAAGGCTCCAAGGGGGGCTGACCCTGCATTTGCAAACATAGCTGTAAACATCCAAAGCTCCCAGGGGAGCTGCCCCTGCATTTTGCGACCGCACCTGTAAACATCCAACTTCAAAAGCTCCCAGGGGAGCTGCCCCTGCAGTTTGCAAGCATAGCTGTAAACATCCAAAGCTCCAAAGGGGAGCTACCCCTGCGTTTTGCAAACCTAGCAGTAAACCTACGAAGCTCAAAGGGGAGCTGCCCCTGCATTTTGCAAACATAGTTGTAAACGTAGAACTAGAAGGCTCCAAGGGGAGCTGCCCCTGTATTTGCAAATATAGCTGTAAACATCCAAAGTTCCAAGGGGAGCTGCCCCTGCATTTGGCAAACCTAGCTGTAAACCTACAACGCTCTGAGGGGAGCTACCCCTGCATTTTGCAAACCTGGCTGTAAACATCCAAGCCCCAAGGGGAACTGCCCCTGCATTTAGCCAACATAGTGGTAAACATCCAAAGTTTCAAGGAGTGCTGCCCCTGCATTTTGTCCGCACAGCTGTAAACTAGTTTTAAAAGCTCCAAGGGGAGCTGCCCCTGCATTTTGCAAACATAGCTGTAAGCATCCAAAGCTCCAAGGGGAGCTGTCCCTGCATTTTGTCGCGTAGCTGTCAACTAGCTAAAGCTCCAAGGAGAGCTACCCCTGCATTTTGCAAACGTGGCCGTAAACATACCCAGCTCCAAGCCCTTTTTTTTTTTGTTTCTTCCTCGCAAACATAGCTGTAAACATACCACACACTAAGGGGAGCTGCCCCTGCTTTCTGCAAGCATCGCTGTAAACGATTACATACAAGGCTCGGAGGGGAGTTGCCCCTGCTTTTTGCAAACATAACTGTACCAGGCCCCAAGGGGAGCTGCCCCTGAATCTTGCAAACATAGCTGTGAACATACAAAGCTCAAAGGGGAGCGGCCCCTGCGTTTTGCAAACATAGCCGCAGCGCCGGGCATAACGCCACCCAGGCGAGGCGCGCTGCCCCTGCCTTGACCAATGCCGCCGCAAACAACACGCGCAAAGGGGCGCTGCCCCTGCATTTGCTCGCATAGCCGCCGTATCAGACCGCCGGGTCAGCCGCCATATCAGACCGCTGGGTCAGCCGCCATATCAGACCGCTGGGTCAGCCGCCGCCATATCAGACCGCTGGGTCAGCCGCCGCCATATCAGACCACTGGGTCAGCCGCCGCCATATCAGACCGCCGGGTCAGTTGCCATATCGGACCGCTGGGCCAACTGCCATGTCGGGCCGCCGGGTCAACCGCCGCATGGGCTAGGGGCGCTGCCCCTGCCTCTGCCGCCGCCACAAACATAGCTCAAAAGGGAACCACCCCTGCATTTGCTCGCAACGCCGCCGTATCAGGCCGCCGGGTATTCCGCCGCATGGGCGATTACGTAGGGGAATCGCCCCTGCCTCCGCTAGTACAACTGAATAAGCAGCATGGGCCAATCGCCCTGCCCGCCGGGTGCGCATAATGTGTGAGTGTGTGTGTGTAACGCACATACGCGTGTCTGCAATATGCCCTGCGCGGTCGTGACGGATTAATCCGTCGCACCTCGGGTAAAGTGTTAATTACTGAAAGTAAAACAAGGTCGCCAGCCCGCCAACACCGGCACGTACTGCCGGCTCGCCGTGGTATCTAAACAACAATGGCAACAGCGACGACAGCCGCAAGGAAAAAGATAACAGCTTGCCATGTCCAAACAAAGCCCCAAAACAGCAAAGTAGACCCCACATGCTGAGACTTGGTGTAATGCCGCCTAGTACGAGTAGGAAGGGGAGGGGAGCGACAGCACTTAGAGGCGAAGCAGGGTGAGGGATGGAGGAGGATAAAGAGAGAGAGAGAGAGAGAGAGAGAGAGAGAGAGAGAGAGAGAGAGAGAGAGAGAGAGTATGTGTGTGTGTCTATGTATGTATGTATGTATGTATGTATGTATGTACTTTTTGAAGTATGTATGCGTGTGTGTGGGTGTGTGTGTGCTTGCGTGCTTACCCACGTGGGCTGAGAGAGATAGACTACACAGCGAATGAAAAAGGAGGCACGCATTGGTTGAGAAGAAGTTCAGCCGGTTTGCTGCCATGATTAGTTGCTCCCGCATAGCATGAGTTCGGGACTAAGCCGAGTCCAGCAGCTGGATTAGGGAGCCGATGAGAGGAAATGGACTAATCGTCCGCGTGAAAGAGCGTCCGCAGCGGAGTTGTCCGTGACCGTAATATGGGTAGTCAGCGAGATAAAGCCTTGTGTTCTGCTACCATGCGGGGCTGAAGTGGGCTAGTTCCGTCACGGTTGGATTTCGGCAAGTCCCGGATTTCAGACTGCTCCAACTGCCCTTTTGTCGCCGTGCAGTATGAATTTCTTATCGGACTACTTAGGGCCCCAGAGGGCGTAAGCTCGTGTTGCAAGGCGCGATGGTTCTGAAAGTCTGCCAGGCCTCGACCCAGTAGATTAGAGATTCAGTTTTTCTCTTGCCAGAAGAGGAGCCGCCAATGACAATTCCACTCAGTGATTGCCATCGGATTGATCGATTCTAACACGTTTGGCTGCTGGCTGCGTGTGGGCAGGACAGGAAGGCAGCATTGTGGCCAGCTCGACGTATTCCGCACGCCGTATTGTCCTAATCGTCTCCCGTACGCCAACACATGCGCCGGCCGGCATCATAGCGCCTCCAAGGAACTCAACTAAACTGGTCATACACGACAGTGTCCATGCTTGCATTTTCGGCCGGCATGCTCATCGCCCGAGGCTTGTTGGTCAGGGCCGACGCTGCCGTCGCCGCGGTCTCAAACGAGGAATACCAGCGATCCGCTGCTGAGTAGGATCCATGCTCAGGTACGGGTATAAACCATGTAAACCAACTAGCTTTAGAGCAAACGAGAGCAAAAAAATTCTGGCCTTCTGCAAGCAATAGCAAGTAATGAGTGACGGCTGTGTAAAGTCGCACAACCATGCAGTCGACCGGATGATGGTGAGTGTCCGGCACACATCTTGCTCTGCTGCTCCACCTGCGCATACCTGATACGGTGGTGCGCTTACGGGCGGGCTGCCTGGGCCCCAGATGCCTCATTGATGCGCCACGGAGTGCCGTCGAAGCACCTGTATCACTTCGGTGATCCAAATGCGAATGCAGCCTTGCCGGTCGCCCGCCGGCCTGCCGCCTACGTGACCAGCCTGAGACTGGCCCTGCCGCATTTGGCGCTTCTAAACGCTGCGATCCGGTCGACAGCTCACTGGGCTGCCAAATACGTGACTGGCTTGAGGACAGTTCCATACTGGGCAGGGCGCCCAGCTCAGGTCGCACGCCGTAGCGGCGTGAGCTGGGCGCGGTGAGGGTTGGTGATAACTACAGTTTCCTCCTTCCTCCTCCGGAAACTTCCATTTTGCAACCTTTCTTGAATTTTAGAGCATATTTGCATACATTACCCAGCTGCCAGATTGAAATTTTGGGGGGGTGCACGTGCCCCCCGTGCCCATCGCCGAGCACGCGCCTGTATCTTGTCACCAAACTAGTTCCTGTTGTCTAGTACTAGTAGTAGGGATATCACCGTATTTTTTTCTTTCGTAGTAAACCAAGAAAACTGTTTGTTTTCGGGAAGAACTACAGTACAGGAGATAGCACAGAAAATTTGGATGAAAAATCTTGAAGGATACCAGAGATATGAGGCGTCAAAGTCATACGCCAACCTTCATCATGATGTATGCGGAATGCCATACTGCTGTGGCACCAACAGGGTTTTCCGGAAAGCCTAGCAAACGCTTAGCAACATTACAATATTGTCAGAATGCTATGAAATCTGGCTTGTAGGTGCAATACAGGTGCAATATAGGTGCAAAACAGGTTGGTTAGTCCTAATGTTGACCAAAATATCATATTTCGGCAAGCGATGACCAATGAGAACGAGCGCGGCACCCATAGCAACCACCATAGCAACAATGCTAAATCCCTTGAACACGAGCTCCATTAGTATGAAATTGAAGTGAGCACTGATGGCTATGGTTGTATTATACATGTACAAATAATAAATACAGCAGTTTGGTCTTCAGATGCCCAACTTTACTGCGGCTGTCACACAGTTGATCAATCATGTACATTTACATGTACATTTTACATGTAAAATGCACAATAGTGAAATACGCGTACAATCCAATCACTGACGCGATCCATGTCAGAGCACCACTCCATAGCATCTTTCTGATTTCAAGGCGACGAGTCGAATACAAAATCATAGCTCACTTTGTCGCAATAGCGAAAGTCTCCGTCAGGTGCAATCTTTCACTAGGGCCAACAAATCATCTGAAACACTCCTAGCGCTTGAACATATTGGGTCCAGAAATTCATTCATTTTGGGCGACCAGGAGGTGAAAGTCTTGAAAGCGCGATGAAGAGCGATCCCCCAGCTCGAGAAGAAAGCACTATTCTACATAATTCGAGGTCGCTGAACACGATGGTGGGTGTTTCCTGGCCGTGTACTCCCTCCAAACGGATGAAAAATCCAATTGAAAACTACACTCCTCCCAACAAAAAGCTCAAACTACAGTTGCCCAAGCAAGTGCGGCACCAAAACGAGCAGGAAGACCTCAGCTATCAAACGCACCAACTTTCAACTTTGGAAAAGAAAGCAGGACAAAGCAGTTGGAAAAAAACTGCAGCGAAGTCCATGGTGCCACCGCTACCATGCTAAAGTACGTGACCCGAGTGAAGGCTGTTTTCAGTTGATTTGGCACGTGACTGAACTCCCTACTAGTAGTAGTGGTGTGCATGAGAACATAACATGGCGCAGTGAAGTTTCGTACCTGTGTTTTTCTTGCCCGTGGTGCATCCCGGTTGTGTTCGCACGAGGCCTGCAGGTCCAATTAAATTTTATTTATTTCTCTAGTCGTGACCGTCTTCCGAAATGTCAGATGCAGCTGCACCAAGTGTGCCGAGCGCAGATATCGCTGCTCTTGCCGATCTCTTCAAAAAGCAGATGGAGGCAGCCAATGAACGAGAGAAGCGTCTCGATGCAATTATCACTGGTCTTACTCAACAGAGTCAGCCTCGCTCGTCGCCAGCACCGCCAGCTCCAAAGCCTGTCGCGGCGGAGCGACCCATGCTGCTGTCCTCCGCGTCCCTGTCAGAGTTTGCTGCCTGGCAGGAACTGTGGGAAGACTTTTCTCGGTGCCAGCACCTGACAGCACAGTCAAAGGAAACCAGGGTATCTGCCATCCGTCAGTGCCTTGACGAAGACCTCAGACGTTTTATCAGGGAGGGCACCATTGTCATCGCACCCAATCCTGATGCGTGTGACGTCTTGGAGGCGGTCAAGCAGTTTCTTCGCCGACAAAGAAACCCGATACTTGACCGTATTGAATTTTATAAGCGCACGCAACAGAAAGGGGAATTGTTTGACGGGTTCCACACTTCCCTGAAGGAGTTGTTTAACACGTGTGATTTTGTGGAACACGAGCTCTGTTCTGCCTGTTCGGCACATGCCTGTTCTACGTGCAAGACTAATCTTGCACGGGTCCACGCGGACATGATGCGAGACCGCATTGTGATCGGTATCCTGGACGACACCACCCGTCACAAACTGTTGTCCACCTCCGACCTGACATTGGAGGCGACAGTCAAGGTGTGTCGTGCAGAAGAGGCAGCCACACAGACCAGCCACCACATCCCTACCGCCGGCCAAGTCAATGCTGCCAGGAAGTCGTCTTATCAGCGCGCGAAGTCAGCTTCACAGCCCCCAGTTGAGGCGAAGCACACTTCTGCTCGTGATAAGTGCCGTAACTGCGGACGCACAGCGCACACGAAATCGCCGTGTCCCGCGATCAACAAAGTGTGCCTCAACTGTAATGGAATGGGTCACTTCCGGGCAATGTGCCGCAGGCCTGCCAAGAAGCCGGACAAGTCGTCCAAGATCGCACACTTGCGACTCAACCGAGCATCTCTGTTGGACGACGCAACAGTTTCCGTTGCCACCCAGCTTGTGACCGAGCCAGAGCCCGTTGCTCTTAGTTGGCTCCCGGATACTGGTAGCGACGTTGATGCCATCGGCACTCAACACCTTGACCAGTTAGGCGGATTTGTCGAGAACCTGCTTGACGACATCGACGATGTTCGTACCGCAGATGGCGCCAGTCTCACCCCTGTTGGCAAGATTTCGGCGACTCTCAGTTGTGGACCAAACCAGCACACGTCCACCATTCATGTCTATGATGGTTTGACTGATGCCCTCCTATCCCGTTCATCCTTGCACGCCCTGGGATACTTGCCGTCCGGCTGGCCGAAGCAAATCGCAGCAGTCCAACAGGTAGTCCCATCGGTCGTGTCCAAAGCCACCGACTCAGAGACGATGAGAGCCGAACTCCTAGCTGAATTCGCTGACGTCTTTGATGACTCCGTGTTGAAGCCGATGCTTGGTGGACCTATGGAAATTAGAGTGCGAGCTGATGCTAAGCCTGTCGCTGCATATCATGCCCGCCAGATCCCGCATGCGTACCGTGACCAAGTGAAGTCCCAGCTGGATGACATGGTCCGGGATGCCATCATCGAGGAGGTCACCGAACCCAGTGCGTGGTGTCACCCAATTGTCATCGTGGACAAGAAGGGGACAAACGAGAAGAGGCTCACCGTTGATTTCAAAAAGCTCAACGACCAAGTCCAACGCCCTGCTCACCCCGCACCAAGCCCTCGTGACGCTGTATCCAGCGTTGGCAACGCAAGATATTTCACCAAGCTAGACGCCCGCCACGGCTATTGGCAAGTTCCTCTGAGCGAGGCCTCCCGTCCGTTGACCACGTTCATGACACCTTGGGGTCGGTACAGGTACCTACGCAACCCACAAGGATTGGTCTCTGCCGGAGACGAGTTTAATCGCCGCACCGACGCCGCGTTCGCTCATATCTCCCAGTTCCAGAAGGTCGTTGATGACTGCCTCGTCTACGATAATGACCTGCCCACCCACCAATCTCACGTCCGGGATGTCCTGCTCTGCGCCCGGGAGAATGGCATTACTCTGAGCGCCAAGAAGTTTGTGTTCGGCATGCCAGCCGTGGAGTTCTGTGGTTACCGCATCAGTGCTGACGGCTGGACCGTCGATGATGCCAAGGTCAAAGCTATCAGCCAGTTTCCAGCTCCCAGCAACCGCACTGATCTCCGATCATTTATGGGTCTTATCAACCAGTGTGGTGAGTTCACCCCGCACCTGTCTGAGCACGCCGCCCCGTTGCGCCCATTGCTCAAGACGTCCAACGAGTTTGTATGGGACTCAGTTCACACAGACGCAGTCAACGCTGCCAAGGCTGAGCTGTTGTCACCATCAACGCTGTCATTCTTAAACGTGACCAGCCACTCCGCCTAGAGACCGATGCATCTGCTTTGCATGGCCTTGGCTACGTTCTGTGGCAGTTGCAAGATGGCAAGTGGCGCATTCTCCAGTGTGGCAGTCGATTTCTGTCGGATCCAGAATCCCGGTATGCTGTCATCGAACTGGAGCTCCTAGCTGTCGTCTGGGCGGTGAAGAAATGTTCTCTCTACCTCGCCGGTACATTGTTTGAGCTGGTCACCGACCACCGGCCCCTCATACCAATCATCAACTCGTACTCGCTCGATCAGATTGAGAATCCCGGCTCCAACGCCTGGTCATGAAGCTTCGTCCATACCAGCCGCATGCCACTTGGCGTAAGGGTACTGACAACGCTTTCGCCGACGCGCTGTCCCGCAATCCAGTGGATGATCCCACCCCTGACGATGAGCTCGGTGAAGACCCAGCCCTTCGTACTCCTGCCATACGCGCTTGCATTCGGAAAGACACCGAAGGCCAGATTGCCAATCTCCGGTTTGCCGAATTGCAAGAAGCCGCTCGAGCTGACTCGGATTATCAGGCACTCCTCACCACCGTCCGGAACGGATTTCCCGACGACAAACGCGACTTATGTCCTGCTGCCTAGCCGTATTGGACAGTCCGTCATCATCTTACAGTCGACCAGGACCTGGTACTGAAAGGTCCTCGCATTGTGGTCCCACGTTCCCTCAGGCGTAGTGTGCTTGACGACTTGCATGCTGCTCATCAAGGTCTCAACCGTACCAAGGCTCGTGCTCGCCAGGTGGTGTATTGGCCCCAGCTGTCCAACGACATTGACAATATCGTTCGCAGCTGCGCTGAATGCCGTCACCACGCACCTTCCCAGGTGAAGGAACCTCTGCTGGCAACTGAGGATCGTTGTCCTGCCCTCCCGTTTGAGAGCACCAGCGCGGATCTGTTCGAATGCCAAGGCTACCAGTTCCTGGTATACGTGGACCGCAAGACCGGCTGGCCCTGTGTTGCCAAGATAGGACGCACCGCCACCTCCGCTGATGTAGTCCGTGCGTTCCGAGGCTGGTTCGCGGACCTCGGTGTTCCAGCTGTCCTGACGACTGATGGTAGTCCGCAGTTCACAGCGCAGCGCTTCTCCGCCTTCTGTCAGCGTTGGCAAGTCCGCCACGTCAGATCCAGTCCGCATTACCCACAATCGAATGGCCATGCGGAGGCGGCTGTCAAGGCCATCAAATCTCTCGTGTACAAGACCACCACCAACGGAGACATTAATGTCGATGCCTTCCGTCGTGGCTTATTGGAATGGCGTAACACTCCCCGTAGCTCCGGTCAGAGCCCAGCGCAGGCCCTGTTTGGCCGCCCTCTGTCGTCATTCGTGCTTGCCCACCGGACCAGTTTTGCCCCAGCGTGGCAAGAAACCGCTGACGAAATCGACAGTCGTGCCTCTGCCCAGTCAGAAGCAGCCAGTCAGCACTACAACCAGTCTGCCCGTTCTCTGCCTGCCTTCCACCTTGGTTGCCCTGTTGATCTACAAGATCCCCGCAGCAAGTTGTGGAACGCCCGCGGTACCATTGTCGCCATTGGGAGCCACAGCGACTACATGGTCAAGCTTCCCAGTGGCCGAATATACTGGCGAAACCGTCGCTTTCTTCGACCTGTTGTCTTGCCCGTAGCACCTGCACAGCCGATGCCTGCTACCCCCATCACTCAGCCTGCCCCGCCAGTCCGGCGCAGTCAGCGAAGCCGCCAAACCCCGTCTAGGCTGAATATTTCGAACACTCGTGGCCAAACTTATGATTAGCTGCCTGTGCGTCTTTCTGTCTCTTGTTGAGCTCAGCTATTTTCGTATTCAGTTATCTCTATCTTCTTTGCCGTCCTTTCTAGTTGGTATTAGATGCCTTGTTGTCATCTCAGAAGGGGCGTGAGATACATGTATGTAAATGTAATTGTTATATTTCTATCTCAGAAGGGACGTGATGTATCATGCTAGCTACTCATGTATTGCGCATGTACTTCAAGTTGCTATCACCCGTATAACGCGTATTGTTACGTTATACGCCTTGCTTCACGTGATTACGTCATGTCTCTATTGGACGCATGCACGCATCCATATTCTGGATTCATGTGTTCTTCTCCTTGCTCTTCTTCCTCACTTGAGAATGTAAATAATTAGTTTCTATTATCTTGTCACCAAACTAGTTCCTGTTGTCTAGTAGTAGTGGCGTGCATGAGAACATAACATATACATTTCATATAGGTGTCCTGCTTTGGAATGGTGGCAAGGTTGCCCAGACATGCTTCAAGCATGTCTGGGCCAGTTGAAAAGTGGAGCTTGTACAGAAAGCAGAGTGCTCCGACCATTCTGCGGATGTCCAAGCTAGGGAGGTACGCTCCATCACCGATTAGGCGAAGGCCACGGCGTTGGATGGCAGTGAGGCGAGCCAGAGTGGTGGGTGCGGCGCTCATTCACACGAGCATGCCGTACTCCAGGACCGGGCAGACAAAGCCCTTGTAGATCACACCACGGCACCTGGAGTCCAGCACTCGTGAGGCTTTCGGAGAAAGACGCTGCGAGCCTCGAATAGCCAACTGCCTGATATGAGCTGTGAAGAACAGGTGTACTAGTAGGTGAAACAGCACACCCAGCAGCTTCAGCTGGACGGCTTCCGGAACAACTGTGCTCTGGAATACAAAGTTTTGCAGGGCAAAGAGTTAGACTGTTGGGACTTGTACTCTTTCATGCTCCTACAGCTGAATGACTCGTCATGCAGTTTCACTGTATATCTATAATGTATCATGTTACGAAGAACTGGGTTGATGGCAACACTGTACTCGCCAAAGCTGTTACATTTCCAATTTCGCAACTACGATCAGACAAAGCAGTTCAATTCACAACTCCGATCAGATATAGTGTTGAACCATTCACTATCTTTCATAGGTTCATAGGTTCATGGGTTCATAGGTTTGACATTCGTGGCCAGACCTCGTATGTATGAGCTGCCGTATTTGCCAGAGTATAATTATAAGGCTGCGTTTACACAGAGATAAAACGAAACGAAACGGAACGAAAGCGCGTTGGCCTCAAATCGTTTTCAAGCCACGAGAACGGCAAACCATTCTGAAGCGTTTACACGAAAACGGAAAAGAGGCGATCAGGCTGGAGTTAGCACGTGCTGGCTTGGAGTAGGCCTTGACGGATTATGCTAGCATAATTTTTCGCATAATTCCTACCAAAATCGAATAAGCGCATAATTCGAGGCAAATTGCATACGAATCGCATAAATTGGAATAATCCAACTGTTCGCATCAAATTCCATACAGTTGTACATGTTCTACAAGTACAAGTATAAGTAGATGCACCAGGAAGTCGTAGGTTTACGACTCCCTTGATAACATTATTATTATTATTATTATTATTATTATTATTATTATTATTATTGTAAAAGAGAAAAGGACATATGGATACGAGTTTAGAGTAACTCTCCATCACTGTAACATGATACTATTATACAGTCAGTTATACAGTTATACATTTATTTATGGCTCAACATCCGAGTTTCAAATTATTATTATTATTATCAAATTTTTGATAGGGCAATCCCCACAGGCCTAAGGCCTTCTTACAGGGTACCCTAGAAATGAAAGTACTGAATTACGGAATAGATGCAGGGAAGAGCATAAGCGGACTGCAGCAGGGAGGGCATTCCAACGGTCGGAACCGATGAAAGAAACTGAAAAGAGACCGAAACGAGTTTTAGCCTTGGGTAGAGTCACAGACGAAGATACCTGGGAGCGAGTGCAGGAATTGGTACGAGTAGAAGTAGAACGAAGGCAAAAGCAATCAGTAAGGAGAGTAGTAGTTACCTGATTCAGGACACGAAACACTAAGATATAGAGTTTGAACTGATAGCGCACAGACAAAGGGAGAATGTGATGGCGTGCATTAATAAGGGATACGTCAGAAAAACGAGGCATACTGAACACAATGCGTAGAGCTCTATTACTAAGACGGACTAGACGGTCATGCAGAGTTAGGGACCATCGCAAAAGTTCGCAGAAGCCCCCGAAACGAAGACCGTGAGTTTCGGGCCTGACCCCCCTCCCTCCCCCCTCAAACGAAACGACAGTCACAATATGGGCTTCATTTTTTCACTTGGATGCTCACACATAATAATTATTATAATATACTACACAGCAGGGGTTCATAAACCCTATGATTATGAACCCCTGCTAGTACTAGTACTAGCAAGAGTCCATAAACCACGCGTTTTATGGACTCTTGGTACTAGACTACACACAGTGTACAGGCAGCCAGCTACGCGCAGTTGCATGAATGGACTACGCGTCCTGACAAGCGATCTACGCCGGCTGTGATGGCACGCTAATCCTACAGCTCCTTTATTATGTCTTCAATACTTTTTTGAATTGAAGCCCGGTTTGCGATTTTCGCACCGACTCCCTCCCCCCCAAACGTATGCTCTTCGTTTCAGGGGCTTCTGCGAACTTTTGCGATGGTCCCTTACTGACAAGCAGTGAGCAAATGAGTTGCTCCCATACTCGAGTACGGTCTGAATGGAACAAATGTAAAATGCACGCTTTGCAGTTACCGTCATGTGATCTCGGACCTTTCTGAACATGGCTAACTTACTTCCAACTTTCCGCTCTAGTTGCCTAACGTGCTCTCCAAAGGAGAGATGTTCGTCGAGTATAATGCCAAGGTATCGAATGTGTGCACTAGAAAAAAACTTTGAGTCACGACAAATCCAAACTGGATCTATTTATCTTTTTTCCGTTTCGTGTAGATAGATAGATAGATAGATAACAGTTAGAGAGAGACAGAGAGAGAGAGAGAGAGAGAGAGAGAGAGAGAGAGAGAGAGAGAGAGAGAGAGAGACAGAGAGAGAGACAGAGAGAGGTTCAGAAGAAAACTGGAAAAGATGACTCTCACATTCATTTTCGGGGACATGTAGAGAAGGACATCAACATTGGTTAATGCTCTGACATCTCACATCAGTCTCGATTTCCCTTCCATATCCGTTATCACACACTTGCGTCATCTTTTTGGAATTTCTCAGCATCAGACACAATAATGGAGCAGTACCAACAGAAATGACTTACCAGTCTTTAGTTAGATGCAGACCATCATCATCATATTTGAATGCGGATGTAAATCTTTCCTTCAGGCGACCAAGAAACAGAAGAAAGTCTGCTCTGGCATTGGTGTCGAGGTCTTTATTTCTCAGCTCCTGGGAAAAAAATCACATCAGAAATATACACCAGCACGTTTTATATACCTACATACATACTCCCGCGATTAGTGCCCCAGGGGCACTATTGTTTCAATGTCCATCACTGATGGGGCACTATTGTTTCAATGTCCATCACTGATGGGGCACTATTGTTTCAATGTCCATCACTGATGGGGCACTATTCAAGAAAGGGCACTATTCAAGAGAGGGCACTATTCAAGAGAGGGCACTATTCAAGAGAGGGCACTATTCAAGACAGGGCACTATTCAAGAGAGGGTACTATTCAAGAGAGGGTACTATTCAAGAGAGGGCACTATTCAAGAGAGGGTACTATTCAAGAGAGGGCACTATTCAAGAGAGGGCACTATTCAAGAGAGGGCACTATTCAAGACAGGGTAATTGCCTACAATGCCGGTTTTCCTGGTATACTACCGGAAAACTAGGGTAACTACCGGCATGCCGGGGATTTTTGACTTTGATCGAAAAACTACCAGAATTCGGCACTGAACCATGAGTGGTCAAAAAAAGGTTGCTTTCTGGTGTGACAAGGGCACATGCGGCCCTGCATTTCACAGAATAACACATGTAGGGGCGATCTGACAATGAATAAACTCAGGTTTTGGTCCCATAATGAGCAATAGGTTAGAAATGAATAAAAAGATTGAACAAAACTTCCAAAACAATGCGCACAAAATACGCAAAAAAGACTAAAAAACTGCCCACAAAAACGGAAATGGCCAAAATTGGCGAAAAACCAGCAAGATAAGGGAAAAAGCGAGAGAAAATTAATTAAGGGAAACTGGGTGTGTGACTAAGGGAAATTGCTTTGGCTGGGTTGGCAAGTACGAGAGGGCACTATTCAAGAGAGGGCGCTATTTTTCAATGCTGTTAAATTTACGTCATCCCGTCGTTCAGAACTAATAAGAAACCCATGACCACTCTTGATCAATTACAGGCAAGGTTTGCTAGAGCTCTACTAAAAAGAAAAAAAATTGCATTTGATTACACTTCTTCTGAATCTGTCTTAAATTCTAAATGCTCCCTAGAATCACTAGCTTATCGTTGTCAAATCATCAGTCTCACCACTTTTCACGGATATGTTTTCCATCATCGTGATTACCTTGCTGATTTACATTTCAACATTACGAATAGTGAGCGACGACCAAATATAATCAATCTTCCCAAATTTAAACCATTGTCTAAGTTTCTCTTCATGTTACGAACTGCTATTCGGTTGAACATTTTTAGCAGGGGTTGAGTACCGTATAGGCCTTGACGGATTATGCTAGCATAATTTTTCGCATAATTCCTACCAAAATCGAATAAGCGCATAATTCGAGGCAAATTGCATACGAATCGCATAAATTGGAATAATCCAACTGTTCGCATCAAATTCCATACAGTTGTACATGTTCTACAAGTACAAGTATAAGTAGATGCACCAGGAAGTCGTAGGTTTACGACTCCCTTGATAACATTATTATTATTATTATTATTATTATTATTATCAAATTTTTGATAGGGCAATCCCCACAGGCCTAAGGCCTTCTTACAGGGTACCCTAGAAATGAAAGTACTGAATTACGGAATAGATGCAGGGAAGAGCATAAGCGGACTGCAGCAGGGAGGGCATTCCAACGGTCGGAACCGATGAAAGAAACTGAAAAGAGACCGAAACGAGTTTTAGCCTTGGGTAGAGTCACAGACGAAGATACCTGGGAGCGAGTGCAGGAATTGGTACGAGTAGAAGTAGAACGAAGGCAAAAGCAATCAGTAAGGAGAGTAGTAGTTACCTGATTCAGGACACGAAACACTAAGATATAGAGTTTGAACTGATAGCGCACAGACAAAGGGAGAATGTGATGGCGTGCATTAATAAGGGATACGTCAGAAAAACGAGGCATACTGAACACAATGCGTAAAGCTCTATTACTAAGACGGACTAGACGGTCATGCAGAG